CGGCAACAACAGCTCCTCCTCCTCCTTACTGCTACTGCTCCTGCTCCTGCTGCTACTGCTGCAGCTGCTGCTGCTACTACCACTACCGCTACCACTGCTACTGCTGCTGCCACTGCTACTGCTGCTGCTACTGCTACTGCTGCTGCTGCTGCTACTGCTGCAGCGGGCAGTAGAAGCAGTTAACATACAATCACCAAGCACAGTGGCAGCAACAACACCAACAAGAGCATTAGCAAGCGTAGCAATGCCAAGGCAGCATCAGAAAAGACTGCACCAGCTGCTTGGGTTATGTTGCCGCCCCGAAGGTACACAGCTGATAGCGGCTGCTCTGGAGCAGAACACCAGCCTGAAGCTTGCAAAATACAGGTCCAGGGGTTTACAGTAGGAGCGTACAGTAGGATTCAGCTAGACGGACGAAGGACTCTTGCTGCGAATGTTGGTCTGGTAAGGCTAGTAAGGCTTATTGAGCGGACGTTCTTGCACAACGCCGGAGTGTCACGCTTCAGGACTTTCAACTTGGAAGAAGCACCTTTACGCATACTTTTCATTGCTTCCTTCCACCCGCTCTACCCACGAACTGTTTGCATTCTTTCTTTTGAAGGGCTTAGGTGGCCTTGGTTTGGCCGCATTGCAACCATTCTTTCGGTGGTATGGTTGAAGGATTACGTTGCAACACTGCCTAGGTGTTCCTGTCATATTCAGGCCGAAGGCTAGCGGCTATGGGCCTTGAGAAGCACCTGATAGACACCAAGTGACGTTTGCCAACTTTGGTGCAGGAAACTACGCAAAATTGGGTGTCATTGATGCACTGCCTGTTCTTGTGACTCGTTCCTTTGGTCCCCCCCCTGCGAAAGCTCTGGTTAAGAGCTCGTTGCAATACGAAGGAATCGTAATCATAGCGGTGTCCCAGGAACGCGATGCTCCTTGTGCACAACACGATCCACCAGGCACTAAGGTGTTTGCATCCTAGAGTTTGCGATTGAGCTTCATGGCTGTGTGCCAGAAGCATCGTTGCCTCAACTTCCAGCTGGCAAGGTTGGCAAAAATTGCCCAAGGTTGAAGCCTGTATCATGAACTTGTAAACAATGACACAGGGAGGCTTAAGGCCAGCGCAACTAGACATACACATACATACAGACCTACACATGTACGTGTGTTTATATACATACACGTATGTTTATATGTATGTATACATGTATGGGCCATAAAGGCATGTATAATCTCTCCCAATGCCGTTTGCCCGGGAATGGTTCCAAGACCCTGTACGTTCATAGTACCGTAACGACATGATTGAGATATATGTCGCATATATAATCCATCCACCGCGGGCTTGTCAGGCCGGCATCAAGGCGCTGCAGGTGGCGATTAGCAAGCACCCAAGCATTGTGAAGCGCTTCGGACTGCACTGGAAGTGTGCCCTTTTTCGAGATTCCGATGCATGAAAGAAAAGCATCGGGCGATTCTGGTTAGCATAGTCCAAGCTTTTGCAACGATCAAAGCCCTTAATCGCGATGGCTGGGTTGAGAGTCGTCAGTACCGTGTTTTGCAGTTGCTGATGTTGGCCTTGTTGCTCTTGGCCTTTTCTAGGCGATGCCTGGCCCGTCACCACTCATGTTTGTCTATGTGTGCTGTTTCAGATTCAGCACACCATCTCACAGAGGATCGAGCTGGAGCAGCTCGGCATCCCTTACAACGAGCTCACCCGTCGGCCCCCCGGAAATCCGGAGATCTGCCCGGTGCAGTAAGCTACAGTGTAGATGTAGTGTGCCTCAGAGGCTCTGTAGGCTTAAAGGCCTTATGCAGAGTGGCTTCAAACTGCTTTCAGAATCTGTAGCAGCACCGCTTGCAGCCTGCAGCCTAATCTTCAGCAACATCGTTTGGCGAAACGCTTCAGAAGTTAGCCAGCACCACTCCCTGAGTTCCGAGATTGCGGCTTCATGCATGATGCCTTGATAATCAGCCTCTCTTGTCCGGATGTTTCTGTTCCTTGTTTGGCTGCAACTCTTGGGGAAGCAGTGTGGGAGTCTTACTTTGTTTACAGTGGGTTAGATCCCTTGCAGCTTGCTTAATCTGTGCCGATCCTGCTTTTTGCAGCTGCTGTTTCGTGCCAGACTCGTCCAAAACATTGGAGGTGTCCAGATAAGCTGATGCTCTTCATTATGTCCTCAATCCGCTTTCATTCCTGTCATTCGCACATCTTCTTGGTCCTTGGCCCATCAGTAAAGTGCATCTATTCGGGAGCATGCCTGACCCTGCCGTGTTGAAACAGTACTCGCGTCTCACGCATGCAAGCGATGAGTGGATGGTGTTCGTAATGAACTTGTGGCACGGGCTATTGAAGCAGCCGAAAGACGTTACCGACTGTTCGGCCGTTTGGAGCACCTCGTGCTACATTCCTTTGGCCTGAAGTTGAAGGTTATCGTAGAGATTGACTCGCAGGGTCAACTAGAGTAGGGTATCGCGGATGGCAACCTGCAGCGCGATTGGTCCGACGGTCCAACTCATGCTCATCACCGGGGGCCTGTGATTAGTTTCCTTATTTCGGCGAGCGTTATGGATAGAGCGATGTTTCCTGCCCGAACGGCGCTAGAGTGCATCCATGCATACATCCTGACTCTGGCATTCCTTTCATTGGATTTGCGGCAGCGATCCCGGCTGAGGTGAGGAGATTCGCCACACTCTAGCCACGAATCGCCGAAAGCTCCAAGAGGATCCAGCAACATGCCACGCAAACAGTGTATCACCACCGAGACCATACTGGACACAACGATTCTGTAATAGGTTAGATGGTATTGAGATTGAAGTCCGACTTCAGGTTGCGATTGCTGGAGGCTGTCGTGTCCCAGTAGGCGTTTGGATGTAGACGGTACAGTGGAACCTCTCCTGGCTAGTCGGAGAGTAGGTGCCGCTTTAACTTAGAAGTTACCAAAGCAGTTGAGAGCGTTGATGTGCGGCCAAATGCTGTGGGCCCACGCAGCCGGAAGGGATGCACTTCGTGTGGGCCGCTTCTAAGGTCGAGTGGGCACAGGTCAAGGAAGCCTTGGATCCCAAACACCTGGAGGCTGGTGACTTGGGGGTGCTTGGCACATCTTGCGGCTCCAGGATCTGCGGGTTGCTGACGAGTAGCAGGTCTCACATGTGTTGGGATGGAGCAAGTGATGTAGCGATCAGGTTTCACATATCCCGGTGTTCCGTTCCCGGCTGCCATGCAGTTCCGATTCCATCAGCTGTCCGAGTTTATTGCGGATCTTCGCATGGCCCACGAAGAATCAGGGGCCCTCATGCATGTATGTACACTTGCATGGGCAGGTGTTTACGTGCTCGGCAAGCACTGATCCGTTGTTCTACGTAGGTATGCAGGCAACTAGGCAACCAGGTAAGCATGTGCTGAGGTATGCATGTTTGCATGTCTGTTTGTTTGCTTGTCTGTCTGTCTGTCTGTATGTATGTACGCACGTATATATGTATGCATGTATGCATGTATTCGGGTGTGTTTGTACGTATGTAGGTACACATGTATGTAAGCATGCATGGGTTAAAGTATTCGTACCCCTCTCGTTCCACAGTTTTCCTCTACGAGGCTTCATATGTGTATGTATATATACATATACACATATACACACACACGCACACACACATACACACACACACATATATATATATATATATACTCACATGCACCCATGGCCTGCCCATGCAAACGCATGCCCGATGCCGGCGACTTGGATGAAAAGCATTGCTGGCACCATCAGTTTCATGGAATGCATGGAGACCTGGCCAGCAGGCGTGTTTTTGTTTAGCCGGCTGTGGAGAATGTATAAATGTTTGGAGCTACCAGGAGATCAAGTCGGTGTACCGCATGGGCAACACCTATTCTCCGGGCGCAAACGCTGATCCGGACTTGTGGTGACTCTGAGGGCGGCCATGCAGCAGTGCTTCTGAAATTGCTTCGATTGGTTTCATCGGAACCCTCCTCAGACAGGGGACGCGCATGAACTCGGGCTGTAGCCACACAGCTCCGCCACATTGTTTTCGCCGACCCTTTTAGCCTGCGTGAGCTGCCACCGTGTGCCGTTGGCAAGATGGCTGCAAGCTGGAGTTGCATGCGTTCCTCGATAGACAGTACTTGCCGCTGTTTGTGCTCGGCCTCGCGACACCTGCCGTCTGCAGTCACGCAGCCCCAAAAGAAGGCAAAAATGCTTGGGACCCTTGCCTACTGTAGGGTTCGAAACTACCGCAGTAGAGTTGCATTGCCTCTTCGATTCAACTACAACTGACATGCCAGAACAAGTCGTGATTCTAGAGGCACGAAAGCAGAGAACGACGTCCTGTGTTGACCAGAATGAAATCCTCGTCTTAGCTGCGAAAAAGATGGCCCGATCAACCCATCCATACATAGGCCCGTGCTCGTGACTGCACGCCAAGGTGTTTTTCCCGACATTGCTTGCATCTCTCAGCCAAGGCATAGTACCCGGCATCAAGAAACTGCGCTTGCCAAAAGAATCTCAGCGCAGTGTCCTGAGCTTGTACTATCGTAAAATAGTGTGCTGTAGTATTCACTGGTCACATGCCGTAATGTATGTTGCCGTTTCAAGTGGTTAAATAACATGGACTTCTAAATTCAAGTCAGCAAAGAGTAACAGCGAGCACAGCCGGATGTAGATTGTATCATGACATTCGGCAACATGTTTGGAGATGCGAGTAGGCTGTGCGCATGCAGCCATGACGATCCGGATAGCCCCGAAGCGTGGGCGTGTACAGTGTACAGCGTCCGGGACAAGAAACAAGCATATCTGTCATGCAGATGCTTTTTTTCAGTTCTCGCTGATATACTTCCCTATTATGTGTACATATGTGCATATATATATATATAGCTAGATATAAATGAAGACATATCGCCAAGCACCTTGATGTTCACGCCGTGTCGATTCTTGTTCTGCGGTGGCCAGAGTGCCGCTCGAGCCACCATAGGCAAAGCAAGTCGCGGCGACACTTCTGAGGCGTGGGCTCATGATCTTCAGGAAGAAGTTCCGGCGGGTCTTCTATGTTCCGGGAAACCATGCCCCCGGGCAGCAGGGTATCGTTGACAAAAGGATTCAGTATTCGTTTGTTGGAGGATTGAGGCCGAAAACTGAATCATCTAAATCTGCAGACAAGAGATTGAAAACGTGAACTTCCGCATGTTTCTTGCGAGTCCCGGCCGCACGGTCTTCCTGTCTGTTGGGTTGGGTTGGCAGAATGACCTGTTTGTCGCCAATGACCGTGCTGATTCACTGTCACGAGTATTCACTCATCGCAAGATATCAGTATCTAGCGTATCACAGTTTTGACCACGACCAGATTGAACAGATGCAGCACAGGCATTCATGCGGTGACCATGTGTAATGGCAGTCGTCGTCCCGATCGTAAATGTCGTATTGGTATCCGGAGCAGGTATGAATACCGCCTGGCAGGTTCTTTTTTCAGTCGTTAGGTCGGACCCGCAGGGTGTCTAGATATTCGGGTTGGAGGTGGTTGCAGCTTCTTGAACATGGAGTACTGGCTTCGGACAGTGCCTCGCGTGCCCTTTGAGGACATGTGGATCCGGCCCAACACAGACGACTCCAAGAAAAAGAAGTTTAAGGATCCAGACATGACAGATGTTTGCCGTCATTTCTGGTCTGGGGCCGCGATAGTCTGCGCGTCAGCCTTTATGAACAAAAGAGCAAGGCTGGACAATGACGTTGCGCGGTCGAGCCATACTGCTTCACGGATCCGTTGCCCTTACTCGAGACATGTCTTGAGCACTCAAGGACTTGCACTTCCTGTGTGTTTTTCCAGCACGTCAGCCATCCTGAGACCCCATTTTTTGGCATCATTAAATTACATGCCCTGGCACCGCAGCGTCAGGCGTCACTTGCACTAGCATTTCGACGCGATTACTGTTCTCGCTACTGTTCGCTTCGGTCGGCGTTGAGCGCATGTCTACTAGTCGGTTTTGTTAATAGTTGAAAACAATTGCCTTCCTGTCCTGACATGAGCTCAGGGTTGGAGGGGCAGGCATACGCTCTAGAGCAGCGGTTCAATAAATGCTTGTTTGCAGGACTCCATCGACAAGCTTTTGGCCATGCTCGAGATGTGCCACCCGACACCATGTGTGGTCGTCTACATTTTGGAAAGACCGCTTTAGGATGTACCTTGCAAATGAGGGCGTGCTGTCGGGTCTCGGTAGAGGAAGGGAAGCGTTCATACCAAAGCTGGTTGGGACCATCAAATAAACCGAAGCCGAGCTACAGCAATTCTTTTCCTTTCGACTGATCGTGGCTTTCCTTTTCTTGCGTCCAGTTTTCTGGCACTGAACCAATGGTGTCTTCGGGCGGCCAGGTTTCGATGGAAAGATGGCGACAATCGTCTACCAATGCCTCCCAAAGAAAGTCTGTACGTCCCATGTTAGTGAGGGAACAACCCTACCGGCAAACACAATACGTGATATGGAAGCGGAGAAGTCCCATGTTCAAGCTCTTGCTGCGCAAACCGGCGGTTTCACCGAGGCGACAAAATCGGAGCCGAAATGCTGCCTGCTGAGGTCGCTGCCTCAGTCTTTGCATGTCGCTTCCCGTCTGCCAGGCTTGAATGCTTTCCTATGCTTTCCTCCGTCCACTCGTTCCTGATGACAGCACGTATCCTAATCTCGAGAGTGGACGGACCTGTCTGTCTGTGGGGTGTCGGCTCCATGCTTCAAGCGCCACGTGCTGAGTTTGATCGTTTTGACATACAGGTCATGCAGGACGTGTACGTCGCCTTGAGCTCAGCGTTGATCCCATGACATGCGCATCTCTTCTCATGTGCCCTATCTGCCACTCCGAGCAGGATCTCTCTGCGAACCGAATCTGAGCACGCATGCTCGGGACGTTTGAGTCGCAAAAGCGACATCAGCTGTCCCCATCCGCCTACATTCAGGCTGCGCGTCAGATTGGGCATGCACATCAGCTCTTACGTTTGCTTCGCGCTCTTGTGTTGAATCCGTTTCGACTCAATGGATCAACCTCGCCAAGGTTCCTCTATTGTCCTGGTGGAGCTGCACGTTCGCCCCTCACATCCCTTTTGCACCCGCCGATGTTTCAGCGTGTTGTTCGAGTTCCTGCTTCATGGAACGGCCACATGTACATTAACTCATGTCTCGCATGTGATTTTGAGAATTAAGAATCATAGAGAATAGTCGAGATGACGGGAACAGGCATAGAATATTTTAGTTGAGAAGAGTTGCACTGCAGGTTTGTCGGCGAGTCGTTTGTTTGCATCAGTAGCTTCACACATCCTTCGTACGAGCCAACCTCATCCACAGGGTCGGATCTGAACTCTCGCCTAGGTTTTGTGAGGGCGACCCGCGCCCGGACGATGTGCGATACGACTCCTTTTGTAAGCTGCAGCCCCAGCCTAAAGTTCGGGATTGGACTTAGATGGTTTCGACTGACCCTGTCAGTTTTACTTGAGGCTTCTCCGTCGTTCGAATGGCAGCAATGTGCTTGATCCCTGTCCTAACTGTGCAGACTGTTTGCAACACGTAGATCATGGCAAAACGCTGTAGCAGATCCTGCGAGCAGCTGTCATCTGCTTTGCATGATGGCTTGATGCACTGCAGATCTCACCGCCCATTTCGTCTGACCAATGACTCTTTGTAGAAGTCTTTCACTCACAACAACCAGAGTTGAGACGTGAGGACGTTTGCCCCGTCTGCACACAACCCTGAGTCTCACGTCCCTGACTGGAAGGTGGCCCATGGGTGAAGAGGGCGCGCATAAGTACTTTCTGCAGTGGAATGACTATTTCGTGCGCCGCATCAAGAAGCAGCAGGAGCCGGATGGTTAACCTTCATTCAGGGGCGAGCCACGGTAAACACAAACCCGTCAAGAGCACACTGGAAAGCGTTTGTCCATGCTAAGTCAGTGCCGCACGGTCCAAGATAAAGCAATGCGGGAGGCAACGACAAACAACTTAGCCAAGCCTTAAACGTTAAACCTCGTGGTGGCGGCGTGTGGATGGGTCTTGCAGCTGCGCAGAGTCTAGGTCAGAAAGTAGGAAGATAGCTAGACAGCCGTGCCGTGATTGTTGGTCAAGTCAAAGTTGTTGAAATCGTGAGGTTATGTATTCCGAAAGAAAGGCAGGAATAGATACGTAGATAGATGAGCATTGCAGCAGAGATGGCTAGCAAGCTAGGTAGGTCGGTCGGCCAGTAGGTAGGTAGGTAGGTAGGTAGGTAGGTAGGTAGGTAGATAGATACATAAGAGAAACTCCATCCGGAACCCCTGGGCAGGAAGCCAGGGGCCGCAAGGGAGATGTCATCACTTTCAGCCACTTTCTGCCATGGGCCTCGGCTTCGCATAGTATGTATAGTATGTTACAATATAGCTTGGTATGTTAATTATATTATCGTAAATTTTACACTGTATGACCGAAGTTTTGTGCACATACACTAGAAGCTTGTGGGGTCAGCAAGAGAAGGTGAGAGAGCCCACGACGTGACATTGTCGCTGTCCGAGCATCGTTATGCATTGGTCGAAGCAAAGCAGGAAAATCTTGTCCAATTCAGACTCTGCCAAGAACTTCAACAATTCTTTGACTAGTGCTTGCAGCTTGCCAAGGCCAACCTCCGACTTGCCCTGCGGCGGTGCTCCTGTCAAGGTTCACGCAGGGCTTCGTGCCCCTATGAGCGTGGGTACTGTGGCAATTTCCTGAACAAGGCTGCAAGCAATGACTCGCGATGGCTGTTGATATCTATCATTGCTTGCTGTTCATGAAGCCCGGGATAAGTGTCGTGCTTCGCAAGATTAGCTGCAACTCCTATTTCGCTGCTGCATACTTCCATTCAGTCGTTCAGGGGCGTGTCGTCGAACGTTGTTCGTCTCTCCGTTCACAGGCTTACTCGTTCCCTTTTGTCGATGGGTCCGGTGGGCTGCATAGCACCGTGTTGAAGCCGGCACGATGTAGCTGAAGGCTCAGCCAGCTGTAGTTGGGTTAACTTAGACTTAGTACCACAGGGATCCACGGCCGGCGTGAGTGCCCTTCAAGCAGACTCTGCTTTGCGAGGCCAGCGGCTGCCTCCAGCTGGAGGAGCCCGATGCCTCAGCAATCATTAGCAATCCTTCGCTGTTGCATCCGAGCTCGTGGCCCCCTTACATTTCCTCCTAAACTGCGGCAGATGTGTCAAAGGCAGATCCAGGCCGTGGGAGCGCCGATCCACATCTTCGGTCACACGCATATGAACATTGCCTATGCCCGGGGCTCGGGGCTTGTTGAGCATGAAGCTTCCAAGTAACCCGGCCAAGTCTATGCACGACACACGAGACCAAAATGCTTCAAACATCTTCAAAAACACATCGTCATGAAAGCTGGAACGTGTCTTGCCCGGAGCCCCTTCGATGTTAGTAGGGTATTAGACTGAGACATCGGGCTTTCTGGAATCGGTGCGGCCTCCTTCTGGAACAATGCGAGAGAATTGCACCTGCCTCTGGATGGTGACCCGGGAGTCCGCGCCACGAGAGACTGGAATATGCAATAGTGTTGAGCACTTCGGCCGCCGTGTTGGCTTCGAGTCCAGAGTTCGGGCTGGACAGGATTCTGAGCTCCATGTCCACGAGCGGTCTCTCTCTCTCTCTCTCGATCGATCACTGGCAATCTCTTCTATCTGTGGCCACTGCAACCTGCAGTTAAGGCGACGCGAGGCGTGCGATACCAGCAGCTGAGCCTCATGGGACCGGCGCTCAGGCTTGGGCCAGGCTGGAGGCAAGGTGGGAATTGGGACTGTAGCAGGACGCCAGGGTTTGGCTTCAGTTCGCTTCCTTCGTCGTAGCTTGCAGCATGTCTGCGCACTTTCAAGTCGGAGGGAAGGCAGCTAAAGGCTGCTCCACCAAGATCTGCAGGAGATGTGGCGGCTCACCAGCTTGTGCGCCATGTCAATAGTCATAAACGGAGAGGGTGACAGGGGAAATCGTTGAAAGTCATTAGCAAAAGATAGCAAGACCAAAAGCTAGCACAACCACACAAACTCGACTTTCTTCTCTGCAAGCTTAAGACTGACATCCTGAAAAACAACTGTCGAAGTGGGCCCATCCTTTCGCCATGGAGTCGCGGTATCTGTTGCTGATGCGCAGTTGTGCCAATTGGGGTCCAGAAAGCCTTTCTCGCTCGGCTTTGGATCCCAGCTACAACAAGCAGATGAGGAGGAGCATTGGATGACTTTAGCTTCACACTTGGTGCTGCGGCTGCTTCATCTTGACACTGAAGATCAGAGTACTTCACCGAAGGATCCAGAGGGACATCCAGGATGCCAGGGATGTAACCCTGAAGATCAAGATCTTGCAGTTGTACTAGCCTGTGTTCCAGGTGAGGAACCGAGTTCGCAAACTTTGGAAGAGCATCAAGTCCCTGTGGGAAACGATGATTCCTGAAGCCCTGGATAGCTTGCTACCAGGGCTCACAGAACAGGAATGATCTTGGAGAATTCCCAGAGGATCTTGCAGAGAGCTTGAGAGCGCATGAAGAAGGTACGAGAATCGGGCACAGAAAAGGACAATGCCTGAGTTGGATCGAGAAGACATTTACACCCTTTCCGCTGTTTGCCTGCGTGCGCTCGAGACTTACCTGACCTTGTTGAGGACGCGAAGAGTAGCGCAAAAAAACTTCCACAGGTTACATATAATGATGGCATTTCCTTGGCTGCCATCGCCTACGTGGCGGAACGCGTTTTGGCCACAGCCACAGGCTGCCGCTTATTGAAAACGATTGTCTTTCTTCGGATCGTGATCCACACTCTCAAAATGTTCTTATAGCCTTTCCTCACCGGGGTCGGGTGACGTTGCTGGAGTCATTGGGCCAGCATGGGCAGCATCCAAGACGTCGGTATTGATCGTCCTGCTTTGTGCAGTATTTGCATCCTTCGGGAGCCGTTGGCTTTGTGGAGATCCAGTACCGTGATGGACCTTCCTGGTATGGTCATGCTTCTGTACCTGCTTCGAGAACTTTGTGCGGGAGAGCTGTTGGAAGCCATCCAGCGTACGTGGTTCAAGCCATGTTCTGGCTGCGACGTAGATTGGCTTGGTTGGCAGTTTCCCCAGTGCAAACGAATTCTTGGAGAATCCTTTAGCCAAGCCTTGGACTGTGTCCTTCCACTGGTTGCATGGCCCAGTGAACCTCCGCCCAGTCATGGTTGCACAGGGTACATAATCGATTGAGCCGAACTTACCTAGGTGCACTCGTATCTTGCTCTATGCATTGATTACCCACCTCACCTTACACATGTTCGACAGGGTTGCCTTTGCATGCTTACGCAGCTACGCACTGCACGTAGCGACGTTTGAACGTACAAAATCATAATCGCGTCCTAGACACGAGCAACATTGGTAGCGGGGCATCCGTAGTGAGGTCTTGCAGATGGGACCAGCCCTTTGTCGCAAAACGCGGACATTTTGCACCTTTGATGGGTTGAATGGTCGGCGATGAATGGCCAATGGCCTATGTGGCCAGGAGACATTGCGTGTTGTACAGATGTCGTGGAATGTGTTGGACAATCTTGCAGATCAGCGATTTACCGCATGTGTATGCATGTGTGACATTCATTTCCCTGTATAGCTGCTTTGTGCTGACGTCAATATTGAGCCAGAGTGCTGCGGGACATGGAGCAAGAAGAAAACTGGCAGCGCTGTCCAAGCTTTCTACACTGCAGCTGTTGATCAGCGTTCCCATAGTTAGATGCTCTTGTCCTTGAGTCCTGTTTTGGTGCCCTTTTTGCATGTGTGGTACTACGTGCTTAGCTAGTCTCGCGGCTGACCAAGCGCAATCGATTCAAGGCCTGCGGGAGCTTGGGCGTCAGCAACCACATTAGAACCAGCGTCGATTGACTTCGGACATATCTCAACCTGTAGCTCCTGGCTTCAGTCAGTCGCATATGGTTACAATGGGTTTCCCGTTGGTGAGCCGAATGTTTCGCTACCCCGAAGCATGACTACTGTAGCTCGCTTGAGCTTCCGCTGTCTTCTGTTTGTCGCAGCACGAGCACGATGTTGAACGTCAAATTCCCAAAGGCCCGGAGTACGGACTATGCGAGCGCCAGACCTTCCTCAAACTCCACGACAAGACCTTGGCAGTGACTCTCGGCGGCCTTGTGAGTCAGGATTTCTAAATTTCGAAGGCACAAGCTGAAGCTGAGATCTAGTCATTTTCAGGGAGAGGACCTTGATTTGCACCCTCCCTGACTTTTGCATCGGAAGGATTCAAACGGGTTCGGACAGGCTGGGGTTCGCGAGAAGTGATCGACATGTCTCGATGGGCTCTTGAGGCTGAGCTTTAAAATCAAGAACTTCTCAAAGCTCTCCACATGTACATGCAGCTAGCAGCTTCTTGAACTCGTATGTGAAATGGCCGGTGAAGCCTGCAGGCACTTCTGGCAGATTCCGAAGCTGTGCCGCTAGTAGCGAACGGAAAGAACCCGAAGCTCAAAGCCAAACTCCAATTCCTGCCACGTTGCAAAGGGAGCCCAAGACGCACAACGTCTACTGAGCCGGAGTTCGGGCAAAGCTTGGAGTCATTTCGCGAACCACATTTCGGGCACCTCACATTACTCAGAGTAGCTCGATGTATGACCGCAGAAGGCTCCTGCAGGATCTGTAGGATCAGGGGACCCCAGGAAATACTGTGCCCGAAGCGAGCTGCTGAGGGGCATACCATCTAAAAGTGAGATGATGAGCCGCCGACTTTCCAATGACCTCTGCAAGCCTGTAGGACCTGCGTGGAGGTCATCGGGAACTCGATCAACCTTCAGCTGAAGTTGGCCCTCCAGGAAAGAACCCTGGGGCAAGGTCTTCTTTTCCATATCTATTCCGCCCTATGGTCTCTCGCCGGGACCCCGTTGCTTTTGCGGCCCTGGCTGTCTGCGTCTTCTAGCGGACCAGACAAGGCGCACCTCAATCGCGAGAAAAAGCCTGGAGTCGCAGCGACTCCAGGATGGCCCGTAAGTTTCAGCTGTCATTTGCAGGACTCTAGCCTACAGATCCTTCACTCAATCTCTAATTACCCTGTTTCCACTGGTCCCTTCCTCTTCGGAAGTTGTCAAAGGGCCGGGTAGAAGGACGCGCGTTTACCATAACAGCTGCAACAACTACTGGTAAGCATGTACTACAGTTACAACACTCATTCACCTACACAAAAGCTGAACATCGAGAGAACAGTCAGGAAGTGTCATCGTCGTTTTCGCAATTTGTTGGTCTTCCGTGCGCTTGTCCGCTTCTACCTATCACACTTGTGTGTTCGTTCACATCCCGCAGCTGCCTTAGTTGGAGCAGAGTTGCAGCGTGCAGCCCTCCCATGGCCAAGGCTATAGGGGGTTTCGGGTTTCCGGGTTTTGGATGTCACTGCTAAAAAAAAGGGTTTTGGATGCAAAAGGGTTCATGGTAGCCAAGCTGTCTTCTGAAGTGTGGCAACCTCTGGGCGGGCTTTGCATGACAGGTTTTCTTCCAGGTCCCTCGGAGTATCCCGCAACTTGTTGTCCCTTAAGCATTATGGCTGTCAGGACAACGAATTTATAGGCGAGGCCCTGCCCCGGAGCAGGAAGGGAAACCCCATGTCGAAAGCATATCCGAGATCCAAGCGAGTGCCCCCCCTGTTGCAGTTGCTGATGCACATCGCCTGTCAAGCAATGACTCGCAAGTCACGTCTGAGTGGTCATATTTCATGCGAACAAAAGATCAGTCAATACACGCGTTGCTCACATAAATCTGAATCGAGTAAATGCACATGCGTAATTTGGGTGTGTGTGTGTACATAAATACTCCCTACAGTTCCTGTATAGAGAAACGGTGTTATACGACAATCTACCTTCAAGCCCTTGTGAGCCCAGCCGAACCCCTTTTTCTTGAGGGCGGTGGTGAAGAAGCTCTTCGTCAGCGCCGAGCGCTGCTTCTGAGCCGTCCGCGTCGAGGTGCAAGTGGCGGGGCCTGCAACTTTGCGGTTTGGTTGAAAGCTTGTTTTTGTTGCATGTGGTGTTTCTTCTTCAAGTGGGACGTGGGTCCGTTGAAGGCCCTGGATTTGGCACCGCGTATATTTGGGCTTCAGGCAGAATTTCGAGAGTGCGCACAGGACCTCCCCCATGCCGCCTCCGGATCAATGTCGCCTATGCCCTGAAGAATGCTGAGGCCACATTAGGTTTTCGCTCTCGCGGGTTCGCCATGATGTTAGTCCCCCTGCCCTTGTTCTGTCGATTTTCCATTCCCGAAATTGGAATTTGGGATTTGGTGCCATGCCCTCCAATGAGATCAACTCAAGGGCGAAACCGCCGTGTTGAGACCCAAGGCGCAGAACAGGATGCCGGGTGACCCTCTCGCTTGAGAGTCCAGTCTATGGGCACGGGGTGGTTTTTGCATTCTGTCGGCTCAGCTCTGCTGCCTGCCCATGTAGTGGCTTTCCTGCCCATGCCTATGCCGCCGCAATGCAGAAGTATGTGGTTGGCTTCGAAATCGCAGATGCAGCTTGGCGATTCAACACGGCTAAGCATGTAACAATGCAGTGCTGTGGGTATGCAATCTCTCCAAAATCTGTCTGATCCTCGAGCTTCAAGCCAGTGCTTAGTCCATGCAGTGCGGTGTGCAATATAGAAGCATTGACAAACTTGGATGCACCGCACTGCGCCGAGGCAAGAAATCTGACGACTGAAGATAGCCAGCCATGCGACCCTTTTGTGGTGGTGGAATGTTGCTTGGCGAATCCTCAAGATAGCGTGGGAAATTCTATAAGATCAGGACAGGTGAGGCTGCTTGATTGGGGATCGACCCAGTGCGCAACACCAAGTGTTGAGCCGTGAGGCTGTGGCAAGCGCTACCAGACCGACACCAAGGAGGGGAAGGTCCGGCTGGGTGCAATAGATGACTCAAGACTCGATGTTGTTGTGCAAGAACAATTTGGGCTTCGGGGGCCCAGAGGACTTCCAGCGATTTTTGGCACAGGTTTCCTGTCAACACGGGTTTTGGCATCGAGGCATAGGCTTCTGAGGGAGGCTGGGGTGTCCGTCTAGAGAGCTTGCTACAATGCACAGGAAGAATTTCTTGAAACGATGTCCGTCCTGCGACGAAGGCCATGTTCGTCTCGTGGAACGAGGACAACATCTGGCCAGATGTGGAGCTTTATCCAGAAGAGCGTCTTGGATTTTCTTGGTCCCCTAGGATCCTGCTGGACAGGTTGTACTGGGGGGGTGGCTGCCAGTGCTGCAAGGAAAGGCATTGGCGGCAAGTATAGCGCCTCATTCATCTGTTCGGCGCAGGTTTGAGTCGGCCTACATAGAATTCACCGTCTATGCACGGCGACTCGGCGCAGTTACCTCCTGAATGCCGGGTTTCGCTTCTGGGAATATTCTTAGCAGACCAAGAAGTGCAATGAGCGGTGCTGCACAGAAATCGGGGACTTGCGGCTGAGCTCGCACCTTACGAGCAAGAAGAAGTGAATAGCACATCTGAGCCCTTCTGGTTTCCGTACAACGATCACCTGAGCGCCCCGTGCTTCAAGTAGGTTAGTGCAGGCCATGATCAAGCTGCACGGACCTGCCAGAAGCTGTAGAGAGGAAAAACCAAACAATCTTAGGATTGCAACATGTGTTGTCCGGTGCTTCGGAAACCGTGAAGAATGTGGCTCTCCAAGCTATCCCGAACCCTGCATTTGGCAGAGCAGATGTATTCGGCTGTAGGTTTCCGGCCTGCCGGAATCAATATGATCAAAGCTGAGCCCGTACGAGATGCCCTACGTATGCCAAACCACGATGACGAACCCATCATAAGCAGAACAAGTGTCACAATAAGCCCTGGCACGGTGGTCCGGATGCACAATAAGCTCCTCTTTGTTGACTCCAGCCTAAGGAATTGGTTCACTCGGAATTATCAAATCGGCAAAGCTTCGCTCCAACTGAAGAGCGTGAATGCGCGAACAGGCCGGGTGTCGGCCTTTGCCGACTTCCTTGTAACTGCGATGGTTAGGTCATGCCTCAACTTGTTCTCTCTCACTCGTCTCTCTCCGGTCATGTTATACTTATTCATGCTCATACTGCATATGTGCATGTGTATACCTATCGTCTGTAGTAATACTGCCACGCGGTTTGTATATTCAGACTGAGTCACAGCTGGTAGATTCTCGAAGTTTTGCAGATAGGCGCCCACTTCAGGGCACGCTTTAGAGCTGACTGCAGGAAGCACCAGGTCCCAAATGCTAGCCGTTCGAAGGGTGCAGCACTTCGCAGAAGTTTCGTCCGTGAAGGTTTGAGGCGTTTTGCCTTGCCTTGTCGAGTTTTCAAGTTGCAGGATGATTGCACCCCAGCATGTCCGATCAGGTCATGTATATATGAAGAAGTCGCTTCCTCTTCGGAAGGAGGGCGAGACTGCCGCAACAGGCGCCGACATGCGACATCACATTCAATCTGTATGTATGTATGTATGTATGTATGTATGTATGTATGTATATATATATATACACATCGCGCATATAGATGTACATGTCATCTATGTATCTATGTATCTCCATATATTATATTATATCATATCAGATTATACGATACTACATCATTTTATACTACATCACATTACATTCCGTTATGTTATATTATAATATGTTATATTATATTAGATTATACAATAGTATAATAATAATAAATATAAGTATATATACGTATATATATATATATATATATATCTGGAAAGTTGGTTTTTGTTTAATTTTTATGTACGTCTATATGTATATTTTTTGTACGCATAAGCATATAAGCACACATCATATAAGCACATAGCATTCAACCACTTGCTGCTTCTTTTGCAGGCTCATAGTTATGGGCTAACCGACTGGCCGGAAGCTATTCACTGAATCCGGAGGGCTGGGCTTTGCTCACAAGGCCCGACAGAAGACATCGATCGAAACTCACGCGGGCCTGATGCCGTAAGCACCGTATTGCACCGAAGCTAAATTTCTGGTCTTCGAGAACACTGAACCCCGCCAAGCTGACAGCTGCAAACATAGACTCGCTGACGCATCTCAGTGTTGAGCTTCAAGAGCAATGCTGCATGCTTCGTTACGCTTGACCACAGTATCATACATATATATATATATATCATGTCTACATATATATATATATACATACAGTGCATGTATTCTATATTGTATATATTGAGTTTTCATATATCACAGTACTGGAGGTATGATCACCCTCACAGTCTTCTGCCTGAAGCCGGGCGAGTCGGCGCCCCAAGGCTCCACCGGCGTTTGGGGAAATAAAAGGGGTCTTACGGGTTTAGGGCCTAAGGCTTAAGGTGTAAAAGGGCATAGGCCTTGTGGTTTCGGGTTTTTGTTTCCAGGTTGAAACGGCTGGGGTTCCTCACTTCTTGCAACACCCAATTTTTGTTAAGGGCGATATTCTCAACACTGCAGAGATGCTGTACGACGGTATGGGTCTCAAGCATGGACATCGAATCACCGATGTTCCACCATATTTCGGAGATCAACAGGTTCTCGCTACACCGGGGCAAGTCGGT